ATCTCTTGACCTCGTGATCCACCCGCCTCGGCCTCCCAAAGTGCTAGGATTATAGGCGTGAGCCACCGCGCCCGGCCCCAAAAGCAAATTTATTTAAACATTTTCAGCCAGTTCTGTCCAACTAGCCATGTTTTTAACATTTAAAAAATTTTATTTTTTTGAGACAGAGTTCCTGCTCTGTCGCCCAGGCTGGAGTACAGTGGTACAATCTTGGCTCACTGCAACCTCCGCCTCCTGGGTTCAAGTGATCTCCTGCCTCAGCCTCTGGAGTAGCTGGGATTACAGACATGTGCCACCACCATGCCCAGCTAATTTTTGTATTTTTAGTAGAGATGGGGTTTCACCATGTTGGTCAGGCTGGTCTCGAACTCCTGACCTCAGGTGATCCACCCACTTTGGTCTCCCAAAGTTCTGGGATTACAGGCCTTGAGCCACCACACCTAGCCAAAACTTTACGTTTCTTTGTTGGTTTCAGGATAAAAGAGTGACAACTCTCTTAAAGAAATTCTGAGAAGCTGCCCTGGTCAGAGAACTCCAAATCACTCCTCTGGGTATATTTAGATTTTCTTTAGGCTATGCTGAAAGTGAGGATGGAAGATATTCAGTTAGTGATCTCCCCTCCACTGCCCCCTACCCCAGTCCCCCAACCTCACTCTTCAATCTTGAGCTCGTGGACCCTGGGGATCCCCTGCACGCCTGGCCGACGGAGCTCAGGCCGGGCCCGTCGGATGACTGTCTCCAGTGCTGCACGGTAGCAGTGAGTTCGGAGGCCAGGGACAGCTTTCTGGAGTCGCTCAGCATATTCCTCCAGGGCATGGCAGGCCCCCTCCCGAAGCCTGTAGGGCAGTTCATAGCCAGGCAGCCCAGCCACCCACTGACTCAGTGGGTAGCCACCAGGGTCACTCAGCTTCATGTAGCAGCAGCCCACTGAGGCCAGGGCCATCACCTCAGGACAGCAGGAAAAGTGCCTCAGCAAGGCAACACTCAGATCCCCACAGGCATGGAGGCCTGTGAGCAGCAAGCGGGCCCTGCCCTGACATGGGTTCTCCAGTGGAAGCAGAAGCTCCTCACACAGGGCTGTGGGATCTACCCACCTAACCACATGATGTGGGGAGTGACGAGGGCTGGTTTGGACCACCTGTGAAGGCAGGAAAGGACAAAGGCAGATGGGAAGTCTGTTTGCTATCCCCAGGCCACCTCAGGCCACAGGAAGGGATCTGTCCTCCATGTTATTCCCTAAGGAGGAATGTGGGAGATAAGCTGGGCACGGAAGAGGGCTGGACCACGAATCGGGAGATGGGATAAATCCTGGACCTGTCAATTACCATGTACATCTATCTTCTCATCTCTGAGACCCAGTTTTGTTGTTGTTGTTTTTTTTAATGGGGTTTCACCATATTGGTCAGGCTGGTCTTGAACTCCTGACCTCAGGTGATCTGCCCACCTCAGTCTCCCAAAGTGCTGGGATTACAGGCGTGAGCCACTGCGCCCGGCTGAGACCCAGTTTTCTTATTTGTAACAAATCTAAAACCTGACTGGCCACTTCACGGGTTGTAAGAAGTGCACATTGGTGTGGAAAGCATTTTGTAAATAGAAAGTACCTTTGAGATACGAGGAGGCACTGGGGAAGGGCGGATCTTGGGAAAGAGGTAATAGAAATTAGACAGCACACCGCTTCAAGCTGAGAAACTTGAAAGATGGAATCCAGCCTTTGTGCCCAATTCCAGCCAAGCAGCCCCAGCTCCTGCAGTCCAGGCTGCAGAAAGGGGTGGCCTACCTGCGGGTTCCTCCTCTCCTCTTTTTCCAGAGCCTGCAGAAGCTCCTGGTCCAGGCGCTGGGCTCTCTCCACCAGTCTCTGATCCCCTTCGATGCTCTTCACCATCAACCCCAGGCCAAGAGCCATGAAGCGGGAGAGATGACCCTGGAGTTGTAAGAGGGAGGATGGAGACAGCCCTGTTCAGTGCCCTATCCACTGTCACCCTCCCCATGGGTAGCCTGGGCACCTAGGTCCCAGGTCCCACAGAAAGTTTAAATTTTACCCTACAGAACTTATTAACATCAGTGTGGCTTAAGTTGGAATATAACCCTCCCCCTACAATTGTTAAATCTGACTTGCCTAAAAAACAATTGTACAAAAAGAAAAAAAAAAATCTACCGTGCTTGGTTCCACAGCTTGACACCTGCCTCATTGGGCCTGTGGCCTGATAACCTGCCTTCTGGCTGTTCTATCTCCCCACGACTCAAAAAAAACAGTACATCAAGACTCTGGCTCACCTGGCCTGAGCCCACATCTACAACCTGGGTGCAGCCTGTGAAGTCACTCAGCTTCTTCACCAACTGAAAGAGGAGGGAACAAAGGTCTCCTGGCCACTGGTTCTTGACTCCTGGGGCAAACACCCATACTGAGAGTGGAGGAGACAAAGATGACAGAGAAAGATGGACAGAGGGTGCTCCAGAAGTGATGGCAGATATGGAAAGAAAGATATAGGGGTGAGGGTGGAAGGGAGGAGAGTGGATCTGACCCCAGGTTCAGGCCACTCTCCTTGCCCCAGAGATCAGTATTCAATCTCTCCCACAGAATAAGAACCCTGCTGTGACACCATGAGCAGATTCAGATGTGAGAACAGGAATGAGATTGTGATTCAGACCTAGCTACTAAGCAACCCCACAAAATGATGAAAAAGAACCCCAGCATTAAAATATGATTATAGTTATGTCTGTTGAGGCAAGAGAATGTCTAGGGCCTCTGGCCTTGCATGTGAGGTAAAGGGCACACATCTTTGTAAGCCACAGCTTAAGGAGTCCCTGGGCTTCCAGATATCACCCATACTCCAGCCATCTCCTCACCTCTCCCAGCCTCCGGATCTCATGCTGCTTCTTGGGCCTGACATGTTTCCGGAATGGAGCTGTTAGTCGAGAGCTCTGGCTGGGGTTCTCCAGGAACTCTGAGGGGGTCTGAAAGCCAGGCGTCCGGGTAAAGGCCAGGGCACAGGCCGTGGACTTCAGGGCCAGCAGGGTGAGTGGCCACACTGACCTGTACCTGAGATAGTCCAGCCCAGGCCTCCAGTGAATGGTCCCATCACATCTGAGAGCACCAGTTTACACCCCGAGGTCCAGGAAGACCTTATGAAACTCTGAGCAATATGCTCACTGCAGGGCTCAAAGCACAGGGTTCCCCAGCACAGGGTCCTTCTAGTCCATACCTGATGACCTCCCCTTCTCCAGGCATCCCCAGCAGCAGTGTGGCCAGCTGTGGTGGGTTCAGTCCATCCAATGCTTCCTGCCACGAGCAGGGGAGTGTGTCCCATAGGTTGTCTGTGAAAAATTCCTACAGGAGAAGGGGAGAAGCAATCAGCAAGCTACTACCACTTTCAACTCTACACCTCACTGCTTGCCTCTTCCCAGCACTGCTGCCACCTAGGGCCACTGGCTGTAACCAGCAGGTACCTCCTACTCAGCCACGTCAGTTCTCTGAAGCCTGCTCTAGCCTCAACTCTCTGGTGGCTGAACTCTGTTTCCCTGGGATCCAGATTGCATTCTGGACACACTTCTTTGAGCAATTTCTGCACTTATTTGTGTCTGTTTTCGCTATTAAACTGAATTTCTTAAGGGGAGGGATGGTATCTTCACATATGCATCCCTAAAACGAGTGACTGACGCACAGTATTAGTATATTACCACTTAGTAACCTGCCATTATATGCACCAGACACTGGTGTCTTTTTATTTATTCATTTGTCCATCCCAAATTCTAGGGCTGTGTTTTGGTTATACATCAAGCTCTACTGTAGGCTCAGGGAATACAACAGTGAGCCTAAGACAAGATTCTGGCTCTGGCAGAGTTTACATTAAAAAATAACTTCAGACCAACATCAAATGTCACATAAATAAAACACTAATGAAACAGTAATGTAATGAAGAATTTGGGCAAGAGCTACTTTAAACAGGATGATGAGGGCAGACTTGTCTGAGGAGTTGACGTTTGAGCTGAGACTTGAATGATGAATACGTGTTAGGTATGTAAAGAAAATACAAGTAATAGCAAACACTTATTTACTACCTTCTCTGCCAGGCACTGTTGTAAACATTTGACATGTATTCATGCATTTGATCCTTTAAACAATCCTTTGAGGTAGGTACTGTTTTTTTTTTTTTTTTTTACTTAGTCTTACTCTGTCACCTAGGCTGAAGTGCAGTGGCACAATCTCGGCTCACTGCAACCTCTGCCTCCCAGGTTCAAGCGATTCTCCTGCCTCCTGAGTAGCTGGGATTACAGGCGCATGCCAGCACGCCTGGCTAATTTTTGTGTTTTTAGTAGAGACAGGGTTTTACCATGTTGGTCAGGCCAGTCTCAAACTCCTGACCTTGTGATCCACCTGCCTTGGCCTCCCAAAGTGCTGGGATTACAGGCGTGAGCCACTGCACCCGGCTAAGGTAGGCATTATTTTTTATCACCCACTTTACAGATGTAGAAACAGGCACAGCACTTTAGTAACTTGCCCACATCCAAAAGCTAGTACATAGCCAAGCTGGGATTTGAAACCAATTTTACTCTAGAGTCCTTGCTCTTAACCATTCTGCGATTGCCTCTCTGTGGAGGAAAAGCATTCCAGTCAGATCAGTAAGTTCAAAGATCCAGATGCCTGCCATATTTGCAAAACAGAAATCAGGCCTGTGGAGGTACAGCATAGTGAAATGTGTGAGAGAATAAAATGGGATAGAGTTGAAGGGACAGTAGGAGCCAGATCATGGGCTTTATAGGTAATAGTAAGGAGTAAGGATTTCATTAAAGTACCTAGGAAGCAAGGGACTGTCATGATGAGATTTAAATTTGAATGCTATCAATCTAGCTGCTCAGTGAAGAACTGGCAGTTAGTAAGTAGTTCAGAAAAGAGGTGATGGTGGCTTGGCCAAGGGTGGCAGCAATGGAGGTGGGGACAGATGGATGAATTTGGGAACTATTCTGAAGGCAGAGCCAAGAAGACTTGTTGAAGGACTGAGTCGTGGATCAATGAAGGACAGTGCTGAATGAAGGATGGCCTCTGGGTTTGTGGTCTAAACAATTCAGCGGAGGGTGGTGCCATTTATACATTCTCTCATTTATTTTTCACAATGATCCCTCAGACTGGAATCCGTTTGATAGCTGAGGAAACCCGGGCTAGGACAAGTTGGCGGTTGGGGAGGCCTAAGGTTAACATCGAAGGGGAGGCTGGATTCTAGACCAAGCTTTTTTGATTCCAGAGCCAAGACTGTTTACTACACCACAAAACCACGAATGTATTCAAAGCTTGGATGAATAACGTGTATTCTTGGATCCCCTCACACGTTCCAAGAAGAGTTCAACATAGCTGCAGCGTGGCTCCAACGTCCACGCGTTTTATTACCTTGGATCTAGGAAGATTACAAAAACAATCTAGGCAGATATTACAAATATTATTTATGCCAGCTGATAAAAACGAGGGAACACCTCATATAGACAAAAGACTGAAACTCATAGAAAGAAAGAGATCAAACTCTCCAGATTCTCTCCCTGACGTGGGCACCCAGGCAATCACACAATCAGAGACACCCCGCCCACGTCCCTGTGGCCTCACGATGATGTAGGCATCCAGGATGGGACGGTAGAGCGCCAGGACACGGGTGAGGTTAACAGCTAGCTGCCTCCTCCCCTCATGGGAGAGGCCTCGGGCGGAGATGCCCGGCATCCCGGGGTCCAGCAGGGAGCGCTGGGAGCGAGAACGAAGTGAACAGGGATCCAGAGTCAGTGCCACGCGGGTCCAGGACCCAGACGGGGCTCAGCTCCGCCGGCAGAACAGGAAGTTTCGAGTCCAGTCTCCGACGCTGCCTTTCCGGGATGCCATGCTGGAGTTGATTTGAGGCGTCCCCCTGACGACACAGGTCCCGACGTTTCACAGTGCGAAGGTGTCAGCGTCGGAGACACGTGGGGCGGGGTAACAGTGCAGTGACCCCACAAAAGCGTGCCGCGGAGCTCAGCTCACAACGAGGAGGCCAAGTTCCAAGTCCCGTCCCTTCCCGTACACTCCTCTTCCCTTCCGGAAGTGAAGCCGGAGGTATCCGGCGGGCTGCAGTTCCGGTGTATCTCGGCCTTCCCACACCTTCGCATTGTACCACCACGGGGCTAGAGGGGCGGGGGAGCGCATCCCGTCCCCGCCCCCACCCACGCCGCCCCCTCCTCCGCCGCCACTGCCGCTCCTTACACACTCCGAATCTTTGGCCTCGCTACCTGAGGTCGGGGCGCTGCGGGTACGCGCGCGCCGACCTCTGACGCGTTCTAATCTGCGCGCCTGCCTTTCCGGGCTTCGTCGGCGCGCACCAATTTCCGCATCCGGCTCCGGACGCTTCCGGTCTTAGCTGGGCTCATGTAGGAGGTAAGTTTGTGAGCGTGAGTGGACTATCTCTACCGCCGCGGGGATTCGAAGTATGCTTATCCAGGTGGGCTACCTCGAACCTCGATTCCCCCTCCCCCCCTCCCCCGGTAGGCGGTGTCAAGGTCCTTGCTGGGGAGAAGGACTTGGGTGAGATGTATGTGGAGATTGCCCCCAGTTCCAGCCTGGAGCCAAGGGAAAGGGATGCCTGGATTTGTGTCTCTATTCGTGGGCCCCGCGCTGCGGATGCCTGGGTAGCCCAGAGGTTATCTACGCCATGCCCCTCACTGCTTTCGAGCATACCTAGATGTTTCTTTCCTAGGCGGAGTATAGAGCTCACGTATTCTGGCCTCTTAAACTCATAGAGGGTTCGAGCTCTAAGGGCCCTTCCAGTCCCTTCATTTTACAAATGAGACTCAAACCTAGAGCGCGGCAATGACCTTAGTAAGACCAAACGGCTGGTGAATCGGGCTTCACTAGAATCCAGCCTTGCTGGCTAACACCAGTGCTCTCTCCATCATTTCATGTTATGTTTCCTTTTCCCCTCTGTCTGAGAGATTGCTCTGATGTCTTTCCTCCCGTAAATCCTACGGAGATCGATCTCACCTCATTTCTCTCCCAGGCCTAGGAGCTGAATTACTAGGATCACTTTCTTCCCCAGGGTGTGCTACAGACTTCCACATGTTGGACAGTAGGATTCAGCAGAGAATGAGTCCCACATCCTCTTTTCATCCATAAGCCACTCCTGGCAACCGCTCTTCCACCTCCCATTGTCCCTATGTCTACTTTACTGCTCAATCTGGATTTTGGGGAACCTCCTCCTAAAAAGGCATTAGAAGGAAATGCCAAGCACCGAAATTTTGTCAAGAAGAGGAGGCTGTTAGAACAGAGAGGCTTTCTGAGTAAAAAAACCCGGCCCCCTAGCAAGGCGCCTAAGTTACACTCTGAACCTCCAAAGAAAGGGGAAACTCCTAGGGTAGATGGCACTTGGAAGACCCCTTCTTTCCCAAAAAAGAAGACAACTGCCTCCAGCAATGGGTCAGGAGAGACCCTGGACAAGAAAGCTGCAGTGTCTTGGGTGACCCCTGCCCCTTCAAAGAAGGCCGATTCTGTCACTGCTAAAGTAGATTTGCTGGGGGAGTTCCAGAGTGCCCTTCCAAAGATCAGCAGCCACCCAACCCACTCCCAGAAGAAGGGCCTCCAGAAGAAATCCTCTAAGAAGAATCATCCTCAGAAGAATGCCCCACAGAACTCCACCCAGTCTCATTCAGAGAATAAATACTCCAGAGCATTCCAGAAGTTGCCACAGAAGATGGTGGCAATTGACTGTGAGATGGTGGGCACAGGACCCAAGGGGCATGTTAGTTCCTTGGCTAGATGTAGCATTGTCAACTACGACGGAGATGTGCTTTATGATGAGTACATCCTTCCCCCCTGCCAAATTGTGGACTACCGGACCAGATGGAGTGGTATCCGGAAGCAGCACATGGTGAATGCCACACCCTTTAAGATTGCCCGAGGCCAGGTAAGAAGGGGCTTGATGGTGGCAGGGAGGTGGATGGAGAGAGGTCTAAATAATTTTCAGCAAAGGGTATCACTATGCGAAGACACCAAAGGTTGGTGGAGGGAGGGAGAATATATCAGTTGTTGAAGAAGGCCCCCTGGTGGTGGAAGGAGCCGTGAAAGTCAGGAAGGTACAATTAGCTGGTGTCACAAACTTCATTGGTCAAGACCTACTTTACCCTGGTGCAGTGGCACTTGCCTATAATCCCAGCACTTTGGCAGGCTGAGGTGGCGGAATCACTTGAGCCCAGGAACTCAAGACCTGTCTGGGCAACGTAGTGAGACTCGTCTACAAAAAAGTTAGCCAAGCCTGGAGGTGCATGCCTGTAGTCCCAGCTACTCAGGAGGTCAAGGCTGCGGTGAGCTGAGATCACTGCCACTGCACTCCAGCCTGAGTGTCGGAGTAAGATGCTCTCTCAAAAAATCAAACAGCTTTAAGTTCCAAATTGGGTCTGGGGAACTGGGAATTTGCATAGAGAAATAACAGCAAGTGATGAAACTGGACAGAGCCGCAGACATCAGTGTCAGGAGAAAGGATTTGATTTGGAAATCCCTTGTGAATTGGAACTTGAGAGTGGAAAGGTAGAGAGCTCTTCCCAAGCAAAAAGTAGCCTGGGGCAAGTGTGGAAAGTGGTGGTGGTAAGAGAGGGCAGAAGGTTGACAGGAGGAGCTAGGGTATATTTGTCCAACTGGAATGGGTAGCCTGCAGTGAAGGGCATAAAAGGCACAGGGCCAGGCTGGGCACGGTGGCTCATGCCTGTAATCCCAGCACTTTGGGAGGCCGAGGCGGGCAGATCACCTGAGGTTGAGAGTTCGAGACCAGCCTGACCAACGTGGAGAAACCCCATCTCTACTAAAAATACAAAATTAGCCGGGCATGGTGGTGCATGCCTGTAATCCCAGCTGCCCGGGAAGCTGAGGCAGGAGAATCGCTTGAACCCAGCAGGTGGAGGTTGCGGTGAGCCAAGATCACACCATTGCACTCCAGCCTGGAGAATGAGAGCGAAACTCCATCTCAACAGCAACAAAAAAAGAGCACAGGGCCAGCACATTGGGTTGTCACCTCACTCCTAGCCCTGTACTGGCTATTGGGATTGCATGGCATGAATAGGAAAGAAGAGTGAGCTGGGAGGGGTGAGAGGAAGAAGTGAACGGGAGAGCAAGAGGGGTGCCTGCTGGTCTCAGGAGGCCACCAGAGGGCGCCCTTGGTCTGCGCCTATGCAGTTTCAGGTCCACACTGCCTTCTGTAGACATGCTGTTCCAATAATGCTTATATGCCATCAGTTGAAGGAGGTTCATTAGAGGTGAGGTGACTATTTTAAAAAAGACGGAAAGAAGTGTTAGACATCCTGTGCACAAAGGGCACAGCCAAGCAAAGGCATAGAGGAGGCAGAAGATTGGACGGGTCTGAGACAGCAAATCAGCCCAGCTTTGATGAAAGCTATATGTCGAGATTAATAAAATGAAGGTGGTGGTGGACAGTCAGTAGGTGAAGTCAGGAGTAACTAAATATGTAGTTCACGGGACTCCATCTGGCTTGCATCATAAAGCACTTCCCCAGTGCCAAGCTGGGGTTATGAGACTAATGTAAGTCCAGATGAGCCTGGCCTCTTCAAAGGGTGTCCCTTTAGGAGTCTCTGCAGGACTATCACTTTTGTTGCAAACCTGTTTGGAACCTCATTTTGGGAATGGCCCTCAGAGCCTGTGGCATGTTCTTCTGTTGTCCTCATTGGTAGCATGTCCCCTGCTTCAAGATCCTGAAATGGCTAGGTGTGGTAGCATGTTTCTGTAATCCCAGCTACTCAGGAGTTTGAGGTGTTACTTGAGCCCAAGAGTTTGAGGCCAACCTGAGAAAAATAGCAAGACCTCATCTCATTCTGTCACCCAGACTGGAGTGCAGTGGCACAATCTCAGCTCACTGCAACCACTGCCTCCCGGGCTCAAGCAATTCTCTTGCCTCAGCCTCCTGAGTAGCTGGGATTACAGGTATGCATCACCACGCCTGGCTAGTTTTTGTATTTTTAGTAGTAATGGGGTTTCGTTGTGTTGGCCAGGCTGGTCTTGAACTCCTGACCTCAAATGATCCACTTGCCTTGGCCTCCCAAAGTGCTGGGATTACAGGCATAAGCCACCGCGCCTGGCCGAGACCTCATCTCTTTTAAAAGATAAGCTTCCTGAAATATTGAGAAGTTATTTTACTTGATTCCAAAACTAGTATGAATAAGGTTGCTTCTACAACTTTAGTTTATACATGATTTTTAATCTTTTGTGTTTGTAGACTCTGAGAATTTGATGAAAGCATCAGACTCCCTTTCTCTAACAATACCTATACACATCCAATTGCATGTGATTTGGGGCTTCTGTTAACCTCCCTGGAGCCTGGTCCCAGCCATGTGTCTTAAGGCCAGCATAATGATAATAGTTAAAGGACTTCATGTAGCAAGCCAGAACTGAACTGAATACATAGACATCTCAACATGAGTGTCATTTAGGACTGAAGGCAAATTAAGGTCATAGGGGTAGAGATCAATAAGAAGGTAAGGAGCCACTGGCAGTATGAGTCCAAACAGGGTACATCTTGGAAATCACCTGTGGAAGAGAAAGGTGGATTCCAGTGGGAGAGAACATTCCAAAGATGAAGAGGCGGGCAGTTGGTGAAAGAATCCAGAAGGGATTGAAGGTCATGTTGGGCTTTCAGAATGCAGGGGTTCTATCTCAGTCTTCCTTCTCACCACTGTCTTCCACACTTGTTCCAGATCTTGAAG